GAGGAAGTATTCAGCTCCTTCACTAGAGTACAAATATAATACTACACTGTAAAAATACTCTGCAAGTTAAATAAGTCTCTCTCTCTCTCCCCCTCCATCTTTTCAGAATAGGGACATCTGCAAAGGTCATCATCTGCACTTAGTGATCTCAAATATTACTAATTTGAGATAAAACTCATTACACACAATTCAAGGTTATTTCATTGTCATTTAACAAACAGGGTTGTATTTATTAAGTTTAATATAATTTCACTTTTTAATTACTTTTAAGTTAGAAAAGTAAAAATAAAAACTCCTATTTTGCACAGATGAAGTGAGGATGAATTTCTCTCAGTCTGAGGGAAGAAGCTGTCTTTAAGTCTGGTGGACAGTAGATGTTTCTGTACCTTTTGTTTTAGATTAGAGCTATAAATGTAACTTATATAATGTAATATTCCTTTTGTAATAGTGGATATATTTTAGAATGCACATTTTCCATCATGTAAAATCTATATTTAATATTCTCTGGACTATGTGACATAATAACAGACAACCACAAACAGCATAATAGAAATAATCTCTACATTTATTTTGTACTGTGGCAGTTTTGTTTGTTTCTGCGTTGTCTGAATGTGTGTGTGTGTGTGTGTGTATTAATGTAAATGCATCATTCAGCATCCCTTTTTAATTTTTTATATGACCACAACTAATGATTTTTTTCATTACTGACAAATCTGCTGATTGGTTTGTAAAAATTCTGACAACAGTGATAATTGGTGTCAAAATTAGATCTTCACATTGTTTGTTTTATTTAAATAAATTAAGTAATAAGGAAACAAAAAAAGCACAAAAAGACACAAATCCAGTCCTGTATTGTTACCTTCCAACAATGCACAGATGTTCATATTATGAATAAATTCTTGTATTTTTTGCTTACACTGAGATGTTAATCAGAATATCACTGAAGTTCAACTTTACGCAAGTAATGGCTATTAATTTAAGTACCTCTGGTGTTTGTATTTTTAAAGATGTTTCCTGAGACACATATTAATAAAGACATTTTAATGTGTAATATTATAATTTTAATGGTGATGGTAAATGTGTAGCATTTACATTACATGCCACATTGACATTCACACACTGATGCATCTTTTGGGTTCAGTGTCAAGCTCAAGGATACTTCAATATGTAGCTGGAGGAGCCGGGGATCAGTGGTTCACCCGTTCTACCGCTGAACCTATGAACCTATACGTATGTGTTGTTTGCTTTTTAAGGAACTTTTAGAAACACCACACAGCAGAAACACACATTCACACATTTGATTCAGGTTCTTCTTTTCCTCACTTGTTGTTCTGAGCTGTTCTTATAATGCTGGTTTCAGACTGGTACTGCTGTAACTTCAACTTCAGTTAACTTACATATAGGGAGTCTCTACAAACAGGTTAAAATAGATTAAGATTCAAACAAATAGTAGTAAAAATTAAGCTTTATATTTTGTATTAGATCACGAAACATTTGGCAGTTTTTCATGTTCACTTCCTCTTTTCTTTGGATTTCTTTCTTAGCTTTCTTCTCTTCAACACATTTTCCAGTAGACTCTCTTCACCCAGTAGACTGTGTTACTTTCATTCTTTCTTTGCATTTAAAAGTTGGGAAAAGCAGATGATATTAAAATTGAAGGAGATGATCTGTGAAAAAAGGGTTATTTAAACCCCTTAAAGCTACATCATGCAATGAAGATGTGGTGACTGTTTGATCCATGATCAGTTTACTTCAGTTAAAGCTCTGTTAAAGTTACTGGTAGCTTCTGATGCTTTTATAAGTTTTGTTCACACCAGTAATGTTTGTTATATATTTGTACAGACGTATTTTTTTTAAATTAAGTCGGTGGAGAAAAATACAAAATGCCAATATATTTTCTTGCTGTTTCTGAACTTTCTGTGTTTTAATAGTCTTATGTTTCTAGAGAACTCTCCCTCAGCAGTCTGATGAAGAAAGCTCATTGAAGAATAAACGTTTTTATTCTGGAAAAAGTAAAAAATGCTGAGACAGGTTTGTTTCATGATGAAACACCTGACTGGAGGTCACAGTTCACTTCCGTTTAATTGAAACAGTGTTTTACCCACCAGGGACTCTGTGGATGGCTGAGTTTCAAGTAACCTGACTTCAGAGTATGTGGGTTTCAGCCTCTGAGGAAAGCGGCCCTGTGACACAAAACACAAAACCAAAACGGCTGCTGAAAGAGCTGCAAATATCTGCAGAGAACTGATTAAAGTGTCGACATTAAACGTTCATATAGTTTAAATCTGTTCTTTATATAAAGAAGCTCTGGTACAAGCCGTAGATAGATATGATAGATAGATAGATAGATAGATAGATAGATAGAGTAGATAGATAGAAGATGATTAGATAGATAAGTAGTAGATAGAAGGATAGATAGTAGAAGAGAGGAGAGAGAGAGAGGGAGAGAGAGACGAAGAGGAGAGAGAGCTCATTTAAGACTCCACCACTTGGTTTTTTTCTTTGTCTTGTGACTTAACATCAGAGTAAACTATTCCATCAGCCTCAGACATTTTACTGTTGTGACCCTCAGTGAGTCTGAAAGACAGCTAGCTGTTAAAAAATCCTTCCTGTCAGGCTGAAGCTGCAGAGGGTGTTATAAAACGTTGTGTTACCCACAGTTGAAGTTCTTTATTCATTGGGTTTTTTTTTTAATAAATGTGTCACTTCCCTTTTGTACAATGAAGTCACAGATGGGGGGAAGGGATGAGATTAACTTTTTAAACTTTGTAAGATCTGTAACTGAAAGATTTGTTTTAGAGAGAACTAAACAAGAAATCCAAATATTCCACTTTCTCTTTCAAATAAAATAATTTTTTTTTAAAGATTGTAGCCTGTTTTAGTAATACTATACATATCATCCTTATTCAGTAAAGTGTACATATAGTTAAATAACTATAATATAATACAGTATAATATATAGAAACCATGTCACACTGACATGGGGGAATGTTTTGTTTGTAATAAATGCACATCATTTTACTCAAGGTCTTCTTAATAACTTTTTTGTGAGTTTGCAACTGTAGTAATCAGTATAAGCCTTTAAGATTTGTTTATGTGTATTTGTTTTGCACTATTTCCACCATCAAGAAATAGTGCCTCTTTTTTTTACTTTCAGCATCGACATGATTTCTATAATTTTTGTGACATTGGGACACATTTTTAAAATGTTTTCCCAGACTACCAGCTGTTAATAAAAAGAAGCAAAAACAAAATTCATAAATAAGAAAAATAAAAATATTTAACAAAAATAAAAATAGTAAATACAATTGATTAATAATTACAATTAGCATGCGATACAAAACGGACATGTTCAAAACACCATAACATACAATAAAATAAAAAAATAAAAAACAAAAATATAAATTTCCGGATTCAAGTTTCGGATGTTACAAAACGAGGCGTCACACGAATTCCATCCAATGAGCGTTCACACTCACTGACGGAACAGTCTGCCGACCAATCAAACGCCGTGCTTGCCAGTAGAGGGCGGGACTTAACCTTCGTGGCAAAAAGGAGGCGGCGGCCTGTCTCTTCCTGTCCAACTCGGCTGAAGTGTCCCCAGCACGAACGACAGACACACTTCATTAAAGTTTCTGTCCTGCTGGTCTCCCGGTCCACACATGGCCCCCAGCACGCAACTGAAAGAGGCGATATCCGATGTGCAGGAGGGGATCCGGGCCATCCTGCTCGGGCCGCCCGGAGCCGGGAAGGGGACTCAGGTGAGAGAGAAAGAGAGAAAGAGAGAGAGAGAGAGGCTAATGGAGCTAAAGCAGCTAGTGATAAAGCGCATGGTCGGTATTACCTCCAGCTAATGCTAATGCCTGTCTGGCTTTACCTGCTCAGGTGAGTTCATGTTGACGCTGTGTTGTTCGTGTGTGTTTTATGGCGAGGTATCTGAGACACTGGGAGATAACACGTATGTTTTCTTTGGGTTTTTTTTGTCCTTGTAAATTGATTAACTTTGGGTTGTTGATTGTTTGTCTGACAGAACCAACAGCTAATGTATGCTCATCTTTAGTCTCTGGGGACTTTTTGTGCAGTTTTTGATATTTTTATCAACTAAATTCCTGATTGGTTCATCAAAAATGATCAGATTCATTTATAGTGACATTAATAATCTGTTGGTATCCCTTAATAAACTCTGCTTTTCTCTGCTGGTGCCACGTCTGGTGCCATTGTCAGGACACCCAGGTGGAGAGTCTGGGACCAAAACTGCAGCAGTGAACAAGATGTAGATTCACAGTGGCAATAGTCTGCAGTCTGACACCAATACGTATGTGTTAAATACACAAGAAAGTGGAAGTTAGTCACAATTTATTCTGGACAAACCAGTGCTGCAGGTAGATCCGCTGGACTTGGACTGAACAGGAAAGTACTGCTGTGAAATTTAAAGCTGGGAAACATACTGTACTAATTATTATAAAATCCACCAGAGACCTGTATATAGCCATGTATACTACGCTGCTATTAAAGGGGACCTGCGTCTATTTAGTACCCTGCTTTTAATTGTTTAAAAGTCTAACGGTACTGACTGATATTTATATGCGTTTTGTGTAACAATCTATCCAGAGATCTACTAAATATCGACCAGAGACAGTAACAGTACAGACAGCGTAGTGAAGATCACTGTAGAGTACAAGCATCTGTTAGAAGACAAATTCCCTTTTACAATTATGAGTCTGGAATGATTCGTTTGGCAACTTTTCTGGGGAAAAAGAAATTTCACAATGACCCGCTTCAGGCGATGTCTCCACATTGTGCAGTGCTCTCAGATCAGTCACACATGCACAGGCACATGCTCTGACATTACTTCTGTGTCTTCGGTCTCTTGTTTCTTTAACACATGCTGTAATCAGGTTCAAGTCTTCTGTTCTCAGTAAAGCACTCACTTATTCATTGCTCTGGAGATTCACTCGTCACTCTGTATTTAAAGAAGTTTCTCAATCGGCAAACAAATGAGTCTGCAAATGTTTTGATATTCAATTAATAGAAAAAGTTCAATAACATTTTCCTGTTCCAGCTTCTAAAATGTGAGGATTTTTGCTTATTTCTTTGTCTTGTATGATGGTGAACTGAATGATCTATGATGATCTGTAATGAAAATAATTGTCAGTTTCACCCCTGGTTGTTCTTCCATATGGCGCATGCTGTATTGCAGGTGAGGCCATATGCAAAATATCCGCCTGCTCAGCCTGTCCTGTATGTTATTTGTCAGAAAACCACTTCCCCTCATCTTCAACTCTTAGTTGACAATATTTACCGGGGAACAAAGCTTTTATTTCATCCCCATTTGCTGAAAGAGAAGGTGCTGCTAATATGTAGTCGGTTCAGTTGTCTATAAGACAACTGAACATGCTAGAAAAGTGGTTTGGCCTGCAAAAGTTCAGTGTTGGGTCATACCTGCAGTTAAATCATTACTGCTGCTGAAAACTCTCTGGTCTCACAGCCAGAATAACACAAATTGCTCTCGTGCTTTTAGCAGCCAGCAGTGCCGGTGGTTGGCTCTCTGACAGACCCAGTGGGTGGAACAGAGTTGAAATCCACAGTCAAACATGTTCTTCATTTGTCTGGTTGTTGCTGGTGATAGTTTAAGACTTTTCTAATTCATTGTTTAACATTTGATTGCTCTCTCCTTCACCCCGCAGGCCCCTCGGCTAGCAGAGCAGTACTGTGTTTGCCACCTGGCCACCGGAGACATGTTGAGGGCGATGGTGGCTTCGGGCTCAGCGCTCGGCAAGAGGCTCAAGGAGACCATGGATTCTGGCAAACTGGTAACACTTTTGCTCATCTGCTTCTCGTGATCTCTGGGTGTGTTTTTCTCTCTCTGACCCTTTGCCCTCTCTGTGGCTCCATGTTGACATTGCAGCCCTTCATGTCCAGTCCCACGTGACTGCGTGTCTCATGTTTTATTTGTCGTTTGCTAAAATAGCTTCCACTGAGTGCAACAACTCTAAGACTGACAAATATGCATTCCTTCAAGTTGTAGCTTGTATATGGAGAAAAGTAATACTGCATGAAACAGTGCATAACTTACATGTTAAATCAGTGGATTCCTTCCCTTCTTCTGTCACTGAGAAAACTCCTGACTAGTAGAGTAGAGAACAACTGATAAACTGTACAATTAACCCAAATAGTGACAACACTGTGCCCTTATTCTGTGAGATTTTGTTTTTACTTCATATCTTAAATAGTAATCTAAACTTTCAATTTTAGATTTCATTCAGTTTTCTTGACAGAAATAAATGACATTCTGAGATATAGGCACACTATATTTTCCTAAAACAAGTTTTCTTACTCCCCTTGAAATCAAGAAGGCCGTGCGGCCCCTAGTAGGGGTCCGAACCCCCCCGGCTTGGGAACCAGTGCACTGCACATTTTAATCAGCATGTACAGAACCTGCAACTTTTATACTCATTCCACACTCAGTTCTTCATTAATATAAATGGGGTGGACAAATTATTAGAAATTCCTTACAGCGTAATGCAATTAAACAGCTCCATAGACAACGTCCTCCCAAATGATGTGTTTAAACAAGAACTCATAACCTTCATGGAGGTAGAATTCATTAATGTTTCTCCTGGCACCAAAATATTAACGTGTTCCCTTTTTGCACCTTTTGTAACATCTGTAATTGTGTGTTTTGTTCTGTATTTGTCTGAATGTACGGTACCGTATGTGTGTCTTTATGCACCACTCTGTCCCCTTTTCAGTGTCTCATCATGTGACTAATCTCTCTCATTGTGTTTTCCTCAGAGCTGTTTACTTAAATTTATGTAGCTCCACGGCATAAACAAGTCTGTTTGCTGTCCTTACGTAAAATAACTCTTTTCATTGTTGTCATGAAGGAAATTCGCTGTGTATCACATGTATCAGAAGGAAATGAACTGTGTCAACATGTGTTTTCCATTAAAGGTCACGGTATTGTTGACGCTCTTCATGCGGCTCCCGTACAGCACTGTGGTTATGCAGGATGTGGCAGATTACAGTGTGAATAGACTGATGAAAGAATTGTCTTTTGTTCACTTGCAGGTCAGTGATGAGATGGTCGTGGAGCTCATAGAGAAGAATCTGGACACGTCGGCCTGCAGGAACGGCTTTCTGTTGGACGGATTCCCTCGCACAGTCAAACAAGCTGAGATGGTTAGTATTGCATTTGATGCTGCTGCTTTCACCGGTTGTCGTATGAAACAAAACAGCAAAGAGTGAAACAAATTAATTTTAAGTTTCCCTACATAATGCATACGAGAGAGATATTGATCTTCTCATGTAACCATCTCTGCACAAAAGAGAATAATTTTATTACACAAAACAACAATTATTGTGCGTTTGTCAATGTCTGATTTAATTTAGATTAAATGCAATAAAAAAAATAAAAAATGCAAATTTTTTCTTTAATTTAAAATAATAAAGCTACATATTTTTACTGAAATTGAAGGATTTTAAAGTGTTTAATAGGACCAGACAATCTGATTTCCACTGACAAAATAATACAATTCATGAGGGTTGAATTAAAAACTATAGTTACTTCTTAAATAAATGGTGTTACTCAAAAAAGACCAGCTCATAGATAATACACCCACAAATAATCCATGTCCCTTTTTCGGGGACAGATGGCAACTTTTCTCTGTAACAAATGTGAAAACAAAGCTTCATAAAATAAATAAGTTTTCTGCAAATTAACATGAAAAATGGGGACCGATCAGAGTACAGGGAGGCTTTCTACTAAAATACAGTACATAATATTAAAACTTAAATTAGGGGAAATGTCTCTAATAATATGTTGCAAACTAGTTTCCTCTTTTAGTTTGAGGTTTTGTGTGTTTGAGAATTTACATTTTTCACTCAGTACTCCAGCAAATTCATTTAGACATTCAACTGATGTTTTTATTTAGTCTAAGTCATCATATTGGAGAACAATTGAAGGAAAAAGAGCCACAGTAAGAGCTGGGGGCTATTTCTACTGAACAATAGAGATCAGTCAATGCCTCAGTGTCTTATGTTTGACTCCCTCTGCGTTTGTCTCTTCCAGCTGGACGGCTTGTTGGACAAGAGACACGAGAAGCTGGACTCTGTGATCGAGTTCGCCGTTGATGACTCTCTGTTGGTCCGCAGGATCTGTGGCAGGTAGGAGCCGGATATTAATAATTCAACACCAGAGAAAGGATTCAGTCTGTTTTATTTCCCACAGGTTTATGATTTCCCATGATGGGGCTTTTTTTTGTTTTTTTCCTGTTGGCCGAGAAGCTCCTCATTCTGTCTACGCGTTAAATCCACCCGGGCAGGTAGATTGATTCATGGGAACAGAAGAGTCTGGGACAGTGAGATAATGTTGGAGAGAAGTGGAGCGTGAAAGCATGCGATTAACAGTGAATGTGGCCTGAAGCGGTTTCGAGATCGTGCTGTGGCTGGAAGGTCGCAGGTTGAATCCTTAAAGAAGCCGTCGTGTCCGTCCCTGATAAAATGTGCTGAATACCGTAGCTGCTCAGTGCCTGGTTGTACTTTTAAACTGTGGGCCGAAACTTTTCATGAAGCTCACAGAGGACAAGGGAAAGTTAATAAGCTGTTATTACATTTTTCTACATCACACCAGTATTCATATCAGCAGAATTTCAGAACAAAATCTGTTGATTTCAAAGAATTTGCCATGATCAGTAGATCCTCACGGCGAGTTCAACTTAGGTAAACTTGGACAATCTAATTTGTGACGCCGACCAATTGCAAACCGTCTTGACAGTGCCAAACTTCAAGGGAATAGAGACAAATGGTGTCGCCACATCCAATTTTATAAATCCTCTAGCTGATTTAGGTTTAGTTCTCCCTAGTGACATTACCATTCCCACAGTGAACTGAATGTATACACTGTCTGTGAGTAGAGATGTTTGGGTAGGACAAATAAAGGTAACCTGAGTTATTCAGTGTTATGGATAACAAAAGGGCTGTGTTAGCAATGTAAAGATATACAGCGAGACAGTTCCGTCACAATATGGTATCCAGACAGTTTCATTTTTACAAACAAAAAGGAAATATGCATGGTTTTGCAAGGTTTATACTTTACCTCAGAAATAAAAAAGGATTCTGTAATTTGAGAAATAAAATATGAGAAAATATGATGTTATAATAGATATAAGAAATAAAGGAATCTTTTTCAGTTGAAATTTGTCTTCAGTCTCATAAAATAGTGAGAAAATATTATTGTGAATTGTATCAAATCATGAGTTTTATGTATTGAGTGTATCTCGTACTCATTCAACCCAAGCTGGCGTTGCATGTTTACTTATAATTATTAATCAATCAATCCATTATTTCGTGCATTGCATTTAGATTAAATACATTATTTAATATGCAGAAAGTATCCAGTTTGTATGAGGTCTGAGGTCCAGTAATGGCACACTGAAGGCCTGTCCCACAGCCCAGTTGTGTGGTTTGCTGATAAACATTTAATTTAAAATTGGACTAAAGCTTGTTGAGGTGAATTTTTTATTTTTGTAATTTTTTTTATTGACCATAT